ATTTGGTAGCTTTATGGGGTGAGATCAGGAAAATAACAGGAAGTCGTTATATCTGGATATATTTAGAGGTGGACTTTACAGCATATCCTAATGTAACATCTGGGTTGTAAGAAAGGGGTGAGGATGCCATTCAACATTTCAGACAGTGAAGCATGTGAAGGAGAGATGTGGAGGGCCTGCTACTATCCCTAGATGGATTTCTCACTCATTTGATACAAATTTATGATGCAATTTTTTTTTCAAGTAAAATTTACTAAAGGCATTAATAGATATGTGTGAATGTGTGTATGTTTGTATATAATGGTATAGTGTGTGACACTGACTCCAGACCCCTGTGGCTTACCCAGCTCTGTCCTGCCCCCTGAGTGGTGGAATGAGGGCTTTGTTGGTGGGGCTGCCCCAGTGGGCACAGCCAGAGGCCAGTGGGAGCAGGAGTCTGAAAGGGCTGGCAGCAGCAGGGGGGGTTTCCTGCCCTGGCACCCTGTGTGTGCGGGTGGGAGCTGGTGGGCACAGCTCTAGAGGTGGTGGCAGAGGGGGAGTTTCCTGCCAGTGGCAGGCAGCCTTCAGAGGGCCCCTCCCCCAGAGCAAGCCAGGGTTAAGCACAGGAGCCCCTAGGGCTTAGGGTCCCCCTCCCCTGCCCCCAGAGGAGCTGCTTCTGGGCAGCTCCAAGGCCGCCCTGCAGTGGGTGCCACAGGACAGCTTCGCTGAGGCCACCTCGTGGGCTAGGGATGAGAGCTGTGGGGGCCTCAGCTGGGTTTGAATGGACCCCACCCACCCTGGCAGGCTCCAGGAGGCTGCTGCTTGAGGACAGGGCCCAGGCCACCCTGACATCTGTGCCCACTGCAACCAGCAGAGGGAATGGCAGAGGGTGACAATAGGTGGGCACTTCACCACCAGCCCCCATTAGTGTCATGGACAAAGGCCGCAGCCAATCTGGCAGCAGAGGCTCTCTATCCCCCCCACACCACCCCAGGGCATGCAGCCCACTGGGGCTACAGCAGCAAGTTCCCCTTTGAGACCTGTCATGCTGCTGTCTGTCTGGCACCACCTCCTACTACTGTTGCCTCCTTCCAGTCCAGCTTGGCATTCAGACTGTGGCTGTGCCTGTTGGGGTGTCACCTCAGATGGGAGCACCCCCTGCGAGCACCTCCCGATGCCACTGTGAGTTGGATCCTGGCCCAGTGCTTGCGGCTGTGCCCCACCTCCAGGCCCTCCCTGACAGGACTGTACCACCTTGCATGGCAGCCTTAATTTGGGACTATTAGACACTGCGGACACTATCTGGGGTGAACAGCTGCCACTGAGCCCTTAGAAACTCTTTATTTCCCTGCTCTCCTGTTTGTTAATGAAACCTCATTGCTGTTCCCTGAGCCTGAGTGGTTGTAATTGAGCACATGGGTGAGAACCACAGACAGTGCCCTGTCCTCTACCTCACCTTTGTCCTTTTGAGAGGGGGCCAGGGAGGAAGGGCCCATACCTAGTACAGGAACCTGCAAACACACAGGCTGCATGCACACGCTACACGACTCATGATCTGTTTTCTTTGAACTAAAGCTCTTGTTTTAAACTGAGATCCTGCCCTGCTGATGACCCAAAGAGTGCCAGACACTGACGCCCTCTGATGTACCAGGGGCAGGATACCCAGGAGGTTGATGGCAAGTTCTGGGGCTGAACAGGATGGACACCAGGAGTGTCATCTGTGCTGGGCTGTTCTGGTGGGCTGTTTGCTCGGAACATAAAGGTTTGTCAGTGCAGAGAACACCCGGAGACGCACAGGAGAGAGGCGTGTGGAGAAGGCCCCCTGACTCTTGGCTTTGGACTTGAACCAAGAACTTAGAGACGTGGAAGGAAACACCTGGAAGAGACACTGTGATGGCCTGAGATGGATCCCCTGCCAGGGAGCTGCCCACATGGTGCAGCAGACCTCTCCCTACTTGCCCGCTGCTCCCCTCAGCAGTGTATTTCAGTAGATCTGCCTGTTCTGTTTCCCACTCTGTCTCTGGTGAATCCTCTCACCAGCCTCCCCACCACTTCTGGCCTATACCCGATATCTTCTATGCATAAATAAATCATTAAAAAAAAGTTTGCATAAATCCAGTAAAGTTCTTTTTCCCCTTCTCTTTAATAGACAATTGGAAATACGGATATGTTACCAAGGCTTTGTCTGGAATGTTGTGTTTCCAGAAACCAGACTCATCTCAGAGGCTGCAAGACAACAATAAACTGGCACTTATTTAAGGGGTACAAGGGTCTGTCATGAGGGTAAAGAAGGCAACCCCTTGGCAGGTCCAGAAACCCCAAATGTCATGGGAGCCTCATGAGGAATTTCCCCAAAGATACAGGTACTGCAGGCCAATTCTGGTGGTGAGAACTTGGTGTGGTCCTGAGCCCTGACTCCTGGCTGTTAGGAGCTCTCAGTCTGAGGGTTCCTGTATGAAGGTCTGACAAAGCAAGATTAAAAAGTCTGCATAATAATTTCTGTTCCTGATGAATTCATGCAAACTGACTGTGGCAGTGTAGTGTCTGGGTGAGGCCGGGGGCTGATAACCAGTACTGGAGGCTGAACGTAATGGATACCAGGAGCACCAGCTGTGACGGGCTGTTCTGACGGCTGTTTGCTGTAACTGACTGTGTGTGACTGATTATAACGAGGCCAGCTGGAGATGAGATGGGGAAACAGGCCCTTTAGGGTGCGATGCCCCCCCATTTTCTCAGATCAATGGCCTGTAATCTGAGAAGTGAAAGTGTTACAGGGCAGCCCCGATATAAAATGGGTTGCCTGACTGTGGGTCCTCACCCGCACGCTTAAAAGGGACTTATTAATACTCCACTGCAGGCACACACAAAGGTTAATAAAAGGTTTATTTACAAGGGAAGGGAATATGAGGAAATGTACAACTCGGGAGAAAAGAGGGAGATAAAGTCTTAAATGCGTCTTACCCGTGTTCGCTGACATGGAATCCCAATGGCACACTGAGAGCTGGAGGTGAGCCAAGAGCCATGAAGACAAGGGACCCCCCACCCCCACCCCGCAAGGCCCATGTGTCTGGTTTTATACCAAACCTGGCTGCTTAACTCCACCCTCAGCTCCCAGCAACCCTCCCTTGGGTGATGATGGGATTTGTAGTTCCCAGTGTCTTCACAGCTTTGATTGGAGTGGGGGTGGGGTCCACAAAGCCTGTATGGAATTAGCTCAGGACATCCTTTCCCCCCAGCAATTCCCCCCTTTCACTTTTTGCCACCATTTCCATGGTGATGAAGATCAGTTATATGGATGCTGGGATACAGTCTCAGATGAAAATTTTTCAGGGTTTCAGTGTGAAAGAAAACCAGTCTTTCCAGGTATAGTCCATTGTGGAAAGCAAAAGTCCTCCATTCCTAGAAAAAGAGTTCATCAGTGCAAGCCAAAACAAAAAACAAAAACAAAAAAAAAAAAATCTGGAGGCATTAGTCAAAACAAGATAGCAAACATGTCAAAATCACAAGAAAAAAGCTTAAAATTGGTTCAAATTATGTAAAAACCATGTTCTCTCAACCTTGAGCCCAAATTCTTTTGACGGCACAGCAAAAGTTTGCAAACTAAATCTACTTGTAAGCCATATTACCTATTTTTGCATAAAATCATAGGGCAGAATAACTAAACAGCAATTTTAGCTGGCTTTTGGAATACTCCATTTAGAATCAGAGTGAACTCTTGACATTTGGTCCATGTAGGCTTCAGGAACAAAGTTGGTCTCTTCAGACTCCACCTGGGCTTTCCTCTTCTTGAGGGTACCAGGACTTCTTCATTTGCCAGGTTGTCCAGTCCTGCCAATGGAGGCAAGCTTCCTCACCTTCTTTGGAGGTCTCTGGAACCCTACGAACAAAGCAACAGGTTCTCCTCTTCTTGGTTCAGCTCTGCTTCAACTTCCTGGAAGAACTCCACTCAAAGCCACACAATGAAACTCATGTCCAATTTTTTTTAGTTTAAGCAGACAAAATCCCTACAGAAGTTATGCAAACACAGTCTCTGAGATAAGTAGTAAAAAAAATTACTACCACTATTTTTATGCTGTGTTGGTATCAAGGGGAGAGAAAATGTGAACACAAGTTAGCTCTGCTGAAAAAAGAAAAAATTCAGCATCGCTGCACATCCTGGTCAGTCAAAACAAAATTTTTGTGGATTCAGAACAAAAGGAAAAAAAAAATTTGCCGATATTATGTCAAAACTTAGTAAAAATCAGGTGTATCTCCAGATCAATTCAGTCCTTTGTAGGAAATTTTTACTCTCAACAATTCCATCACTAGGAATCTGTTGAGGCCTTTTACCCCTATTTTCTCCAGAAACAATTTCTGTTGATAAACAATTGAAGTGTACAATATTACAAGGCGACAATCACCATTGACAATTTACATACATAATCAGGTCAAGGTGTTACCCGCTTTCCCAAGTGACAATGCTTCCCTTCTAGTTTTCTCTACTAGGTAAGCCAAATAGGACAAATTCATCTAATACCTTTCCCAGGAGGAAAGGGAGGAAATGTGGAGTGTCTCAGGAGCTCTACTGAGGTTCCACAAAATTTCCTTGCATCGGCCAATGACAGGCTACCAAATTTGTACTTGGATTTAGATTTCTGGGAAGCTTTGCCATAAATATCAGAAAACAGCAGAAACAACAATATTCAATCTTATGAAGGCACCGGCTTAGTTCAGTTTTATAATGTTGACAATCAAACCATAACCTTTAGCTTTTCCTCATAACTGAAGAATTTTTTTTTTCAATGTCTATAGGAACTATGCATACCAATTTGTCAACCACTAGAGGCCAAGACAAGGACACAAGGAAAGGACATACAGACATACAACATATAGACACAAAGAGCTCTTTAGCAACGATTTTTCACGCATGGGGTATCTTATACAATTGCAGTTTCACTCATAGACCAAAGTAACAAAAACAAGCAGAAAATCAACCTTGAAGTTAAAAAAAAAAGCAAAAAGTTAAAAGGAAATACCAAAATCAAGATTGAAAGCCTTTCTGTGTAAAAAAAAAAAAAAATACTGCCAGCATATGCGTGATTCTAGATGTTATTTCACATCTCTTAAATTTTGAAAGGAAGAAGATTGGTTTGATCATGTTAGTCATCTTAGGGTTTCTTCAGAAAAGTGAATCCGGGCCTCCCCTGGTGGCACAGTGGTTGAGCGCTGGACTGTGGGGCTGCCCGCAGCCTCTGCAGTGCCGGTTCAATCCCCGGCCACTGGCGAGGGTCCCACATGGCATGACAGACCTCTCCTGCCTCACCCCGCTGCTCCCCTCAGCAATGTATTTCGTCATTCTGCCTGTTCTGTTCCCCGCTCTGGCTCTGGTGAATTCTCTCACCCTCCCGCACTTCTGACTGTACGCAGTGCTTGTATAAATAAATAAATAAATCTTAAAAAAAAAATCCAGAAAAGTGAATCTTTGGACATCCTGCAACAATAACTGGAAAAGAAGTCAGTAACATTCAAGTTTTTGTCTTTTTCTTAAATATACATCTCAAGTCCTCAATGAGTTCACAAGACCAGTGGGACTTTGTCTCTGGGTCAGTTCCTTCTGGTGCTTGCTTAACTCTGGAATGATGTACCCAGGGTTTTATGCCTGCAAGTTTCAAAGAAGTATGTATGCTCAGCAAAACGTCATGTGGACCAGTGCATTTTTCTGACAGCTGGTTTTTGGCATGCCCACTCTGCCAAGTCTTGAGTAAGATCTGCTCTCCAGGTCGGAAGGGATACAATGGTTGATCAGGAGGCATAGAGATCCTTGAGGTTGCAAAGTTGTGCCAGAACCTCCTGGCTATGTTTCGCATATTGTATGATCCGGCAATCTTGTGCTATTTCTGGACCGCCTTTCCAAACTGAGGCCTGGAAAGGTCTTCCAAACACAGTTTCAAAGGGGTTTAATTGTAGCCCACTTCTAGGTGCTACTCTTATCTGGAGGAGGGCAAGGGATAGTACTTGGTCCCAACGAAGGTGTGTTTCTTGGCACAGTTTTGCCAAGGTTTTCTTTAAGGTGTGGTTCATTTTTTCCAGAAGACTGTGGTCTCCATGCAGCATGCAATTTCCAGCTGATCTGTAACACATTGCTTACTGCATGAGTAAAGTCAGAGATGAATGTTGGCCCATTATCACTCTGGATGGAGCTGGGCAACCCAAAGCGAGGGATTATCTCCTTCAGCAGCTCTTTTGCCACCTTGGAAGCTTTCTTCGTCTTTGTGGGAGAAGCTTCCACCCATCCGGAGAACGTGTCCACAAAATCCAGTAGGTATTTGAAACTGCCTGTTTTTCTAAGTATTTGTGTAAAGTCCACCTGCCAGTCCTCAAAAGGGTACTTGCCCCGATATTGAACCCGAATGGCTTTAGGGTGGGAGTAAGTCTTGGGGTTATTCCTGGCACATAGTTGACAGACCCAGGTGTGCTATTTTATGTAAATATGGGTCCTTCAAATATGGGCGCACTGTTTCTAATAAGGCATCTCTCCCATAGTGAGATCCTCCATGAAGATGTTTTAGCATCGGATATACCAGGGCCTCAGGGAGGAGTATCATCCCATGGGAGTTTACTCTCCAAGTGGAGCTGGGGTCAAACTCAGTAAATCCCCATGCACAAGCTCTCTCCTCATCCCGCTCAGTGTAGTCAGGAGCATACTGAGTCAGGTCCACAAGAGGGATGAGTGCACTCTGAGGAAAGGGGAAATGAGGGAATGTACAACTCAGGGAGAAAATAGGGAGATCAAGTCTTAAATGCGTCCTACCCGTTCCGCTGACCTGGAAACCCAATGGTACTCTGAGATCTGGCCGCGAGCCAAGAGCCGTGAAGCCAAGAAGGGGGCCCCCAAGACCCATGTGTCTGGTTTTATATCAAACCTGGCTGCTTAACTCCACCCTCAGGTCCCAGCAACCCTCTTTTGGTGGTGATGGAATTTGTCTTTCCCAGTGTCCTGATGGCTTTGGTCTGGAGTGGGGTGGAGTCCACAAAGCCTGTATGGAATTAGCTCAGGACTTCCTTTCCCCCTAACACTTTGATGGGCACATGTTTTAATATTTGGTAATTAAGCATATGGCTTTGACAGGGAATTAGCAATAAAACATAAAGCAACCCTATTCAACACCTTTTGCTGCTTTAGATTTCACCATAACTTACAATTTAATTGTCAGAAATTCTCTTAAGAAAATGTAGATTCCGTGTTTAGCCTTTGGGGATTTGGGCTTCTCTTTTTGGTAATTTATGTGACACTTATTGATATAAGAGTGTTAAGTCATAAAGTGCATGCTTTGAATTGTTTCTGTCAGTAGAGACTTCCGAATTTAACAGATGCAGACAGGTGAAGACCAGGAAGAGGGAATGTAAATCGCATATAGGAAAGTATCCACTGTGGCAGAAAAACAGAAACCAAATGGTGGGGAAGTGTTAAATAAGGTTAAAATTAAGCCCCTACCCCTTGCCCAGCAGGAAGGTTTGGGAGGCTTGAACACAGAGAGAACTGATAAGGCTGCTCTGGGTCCCAATCCGTAAGATGGATCCCTTTGACCAGGAATGTGGAGGCAAGGCCAGGACACATTCTGGGTCAAAGATCAACCCCCCAGGATCAGACTCCCCTGCACTAACCAGCCCAAAACTTACTCCCCAAAGCAAAAATGACAAAACCAGTTATAAAAGGGAGCCCCCAAATCTTTCTTCACTTGCAGATCTTTCCTGTCTCCCCGGCTGCTTCATTAGCAGTGTATTTGAACAAATGTGCCTTTTCTGTTCTCCAGTCTGCCTCTGGTGAAATTTTTCACCCCTGCACCTCTGGCCTGTCAAAGTATCATTAAGAATTTGAAAACCAAGCTCCCACTCCTTACCCAGCAGGCAAGTAGGAGAGGCTGGAATGATAAAGGGAGTGGATGGAACTGCCATGGAAACATGGTCCTTAAGCTGGTGAAGCCCCGGAACTGATGACCCTCTATGCTGATTCGGATCATCAGTCAGGACACACCCAAGACTAGTCACCCTAACCAGTCAATGGTTCTAAAGTATAGAGACTTGGGACCCAAACTCTGAGCAGTACAACCTTCCTGATTCGCCCTCTGCTTCTTTTAGCAGTGTATTTCAATAAATTCACCTGGTCTTTCCCATCTGTCTCTGGTGAACTCTTTCACCCCTGCAACAGGGCCTCCACCTTGATTCTTCCCCACAACATTATATATCAATAATCTTTGTTAGATAGAGTGGTGTGATTTCTTATAAAAGAAGATGGAATTTAACCTCTTCAACTACACCAATCTTCTATTTACCTAAACATCTACTCTTTTTCTCTGAATTCAGCAAATAGAAATGAAACTTTAAAAAAAAAAAAGCAAATAGCAATTACATCTACCAAGTTGCTCAGGATAGGAACTTTGGCAGCATCTTTAATTTCTGTCTTTCCCTCACTTTCTATACCCATCCACATCAGTCCTATTAGCTAACAACCTATGCAATACACCACTCTGACCCACTCCTCTCTCTTTGTCTACTGCAAGTTTCTTGGTTGTTTTCCTGTTGCATTCTTGTTCTCCTACAATCTAGTTTCCCCAATGCAAAGAGATTTTTCTCAAACACAAATTATTCAATTCACTCCACTCGCCAACACCTCTCTCCATTTTCACAATTAGCATGAAGGTCAGGCCATCCCCCTGAATTAGGAAGTTCTGAGTGACTAGTTTCTGCGAATATCTTTGACCTTATCTCACAATTCTTTCTTCTTTGTCCACATGAAACACTGACCTCCTTTTTCTTACTGCAGGGTGATTCAGTCCTTTCTGCCTCTCTGTGCTCCCCTCTGCAATTGTGCTTTCTCCCAAACTTTGCTGTATGCATCCTGGTCTGCAAATAGAGTTCATATTGTCATTTATTGAAGTCTTATAATTTCCATTAAAGAATAATGTTTTCATAGCTTTACAGATACATACATTTTATTAAAAATATCCTTAAGGGTTTCATATTTTGATGTTATCCTGAATGGTATTGAAAATTCAGCTGGTTTGTTTCGATCCTTTTTACAGATCCTATAACCATTTGGTATTTCTCTGTTGGATTATTTTAAAACTTATTTATATTGCTTTTTTTTTTCCCTGTCACTGAAAAGTCATTTTTATCACATTCTCTCTATATTTTAATCACTAGAACACTATCAATTCTACAAAAGTACAGTGTAGTTTCTCAATAATTAGTCATTGTTTCTTTTGAGTGAATATCATATATAGGTAACCTTGGAAAAAATGATTGACCTCTCTTCTCAAAATCTCCTTCCTCAGATACTTATTAATGTATTTGTAAGTGCACATATTGATATATGTAATATACATAGAATTAAAACAATGATACTTATACTTCCTGATATTTATCACTATTAAATCAATTTTGGTAAGTGTTAAAAGCATCGTAAAAAACGAAGTATTCTGAATTTCCTAACATTTTTGTTTAGTATTTAAGCACATTGGTATTGTTATGACCTATTGTGTTTGTAGTTTGTGCCTTCTCAAAGGAAATATTGTGTATATAGTGTTATTATTTAATGTTATTTTTCTACTAAACTAGACTCCATGACACAATTATAGCCCCCAAAAAGAAAGACATGCTGAAAAAGAAATCTGAAATTACCTCTTGAAAATTTTAGAATTTAAACCTTACTAGTTAACTCCAACAGTAGTAACTGTGCCTCCTTTTTTAAAAAAAAAAAAAATTTTTAAGATTTATTTATTTTTTTTTTTTCAAATTATATATTTTTATTTTTTTTTATTTTATTTATTTTTTTTTATTTTTGTATATAGTTTATTTTTTTTTTATTTTTTTTTTTAATATTAAATTTTATTTTTATATTCCCCCATACAATTGCAAACGCCCCATTCTGACCCCAATCCTTCCCCTCCCGCCCCCCACCCCCCAGAAAGTGTCTCTGGTTCATAGTTTTTTGTTGATTTTGATTTTCACTTTCTTATATTCATTTTCCTGGTCCCTTATTTAAGTTTTCTAGATTCCTGCTATGAGTGAGACCATCCGGTATTTTTCTTTTTCTTTTTGGCTTATTTCGCTGAGCATGATCCCTTCCAGCGCTATCCATGTTGCTGCAAATTGCATGTGTTTATCTTTTTTGAATGCTGAGTAATATTCCATGGTATATATGTACCACATCTTCTTGATCCAGTCATCTATTTTGGGCATTTGGGCTGTTTCCAAAGCTTAGCTATTGTAAACAGTGCTGCTATAAACATAGGAGTGCAGGTGCTCTTTGGAATTGATGTTTCTGTGTCCTTTGGGTAAATACCTAGGAGTGGAATTGCTGGATCATATGGAAGCTCTATGTTTAGTAGGTCCAGAAATCTCCACACAGCTCTCCATAGTGGTTGGACCAGTTTGCACTCCCACCAACAGTGCACAAGAGTTCCTTTTTCTCCACATCCTCGCCAACATTTGTTGTTGCTAGTTTTTTTAATATGTGCCATTCTCACTGGTGTGAGATGGTATCTCATGGTAGTTTTGATTTGCATTTCCCTGATGACAAGTGATGTTGAACATTTTTTCATATGTCTGTTGGCCATTTGCATTTCCTCTTCAGAGAAGTTTCTTTTTAGCTCTTCTGCCCATTTTTTGACTGGATTATTTTCTTTGTTGTTGCTGAGTCTCATCAGCTCTTTGCAGATTTTTGTGATCAGTCCTTTATCATTAGTGTTGGGTGCAAAAATGTTCTCCCAGTTGGTGGGGTTTCTCTTTGTTTTTGTTATTGTCTCTTTTGCTGTGCAGAAGCTCTTTAATTTGATGTAGTCCCAGCTGTTTATCTTTCTCTTCACTATCACTGCTTTGGGTGATGTGTCTGTAAAGATGTCTTTGATGTGCAAATCCCGTAGTGTTTCGCCTATATTTCCTTCTATGTATTTTATGGTTTCAGGTCTTATGTCTAGTTCTTTAATCCATTTTGAGTTGATTTTTGTGTATGGTGTGAGGTAGTGGTCAAGCTTCATTCTTTTGCATGTAGCGACCCAGTTTTCCCAGCACCATTTATTGAACAAACTTTCTTTGCTCCAATGCATAGTCTTTGCTCCTTTGTCAAAGATTAGTTGACCATAAATCTGTGGGTTTATTTCTGGATTTTCTATTCGATTCCATTGGTCTGTATGTCTGTTCTTCTTCCAATACCATGCAGTTTTGATGATTATGGCTTTGTAGTATAGTTTGAAGTCTGGGAGTGTGATGCCTCCATTTCCTTTTTTTTTTTTTTCAGTAGAGCTTTGGCTATTCGGGGTTTTTGGTGATTCCATATGAATTTCATCAATAATTGTTCTATTTCTTTGAAGAATGCCATTGAGATTTTGATTGGAATAGCATTGAATCTGTATATTGCTTTTGGTAGGATGGCCATTTTAATAATGTTTATTCTTCCAATCCATGAGCAGGGGATGTCTTTCCATTTCTTTGTGTCTTCTTCTATTTCTTTTAACAGTGTTTTATAGTTTTCTTTGTATAGGTCCTTTACCTCTTTTGTTAGATTTATTCCCAAATATTTGATTTTTTTTGTTTCGATAATAAAAGGGGTGGTTTTTTTGATTTCTTCTTCTTCAGATTTATTGTTTGTGTATAGGAAGGCTACTGACTTTTGCGCGTTGATTTTGTATCCTGCCACTTTACTGAATTGATTGATGAGTTGAATTAGTTTTTCTGTGGAGATTTTGGGGTTCTCTATGTATATTATCATATCATCTGCAAATAGTGATAGTTTGACTTCTTCTTTTCCTATTTGGATTCCTTGGATGTCTTTCTCTTGTCTTATTGCTCTGGCTAGGACTTCCAGTATTATATTGAAAAGCAGTGGTGAGAGTGGACATCCTTGTCTTGTTCCAGATCTTAATGGAATTGCTTTCAGCTTTTCACCATTGAGAATGATACTGGCTGTTGGCTTGTCATAGATGGCCTTTATGATGTTGAGGTATGTTCCTTGTATCCCAAGAATTTCAAGGGCTTTTATCATGAATGGGTGTTGCACTTTGTCGAAAGCTTTCTCAGCATCTATTGATATTATCATATGGTTTTTATATTTCTTTTTGTTGATGTGTTGGATAACGTTGATTGATTTTCGGATGTTAAACCATCCTTGTGCCCCTGGAATGAATCCAACTTGGTCGTGGTGAATTATCTTATGGATACATTGTTGGATTCTGATAGCTAAAATTTTATTGAGGATTTTTGCATCAGTGTTCATTAGGGAGATTGGCCTATAGTTTTCCTTTTTTGTGTTGTCCTTATTCGGTTTTGGTATTAGTGTAATATTGGCTTCATAGAACGTGTTTGGTATTGTCCCTTCCTTCTCAATTTTTTGGAAGAGTTTGTGAAGGATAGGCACTAATTCGTCTCTGAATGTTTGGTAGAATTCATTTGTAAATCCATCAGGTCCTGGGCTTTTGTTTTTGGGGAGGTTTTTAATTACCATTTCAATTTCGCTGCTTGTAATTGGTCTGTTTAGGTGTTCTATTTCTTCTTTATCTAGCTTTGGGTGATTGTAGAGTTGTAGGAATTTGTCCATCTCCTCTAGATTGTTGAACTTGTTTCCATATAACTGTTCATAGTAGTTACTGATTATTCTTTTGATTTCTGCTGTGTCCGTTGTGATTTCTCCTCTTTCATTTATGATTCTGTGTATTTGTGCTTTCTCCCTTTTTTCCTTTGTGAGCCTGGCTAGGGGTTTGTCTATTTTATTTATTTTTTCAAAGAACCAGCTCTTGGTTTCATTGATCTTTTGGATTGTTTTTTTAGTTTCAATTTCATTTATTTCTGCTTTGGTTTTTATTATTTCTTTTCTTCTACTGGTTCTGGGGTTTTTTTGTTGTTCTTTTTCTAGATCTTTGAGCTTCGAGATTAGGTTGTTTCTTTGAGTTCTTTGTTTCTTGATGTGAGCTTCTATTGCTATATATTTTCCTCTTATTACTGCTTTTGCTGCATCCCATACATTTAGGATATTGGTGTCCTCCTTGTCATTCAATTCAAAGAATTTTTTAATTTCTTCTTTGATCTCCTCGTTAGTCCAGTGGTCTTCCAGTAATGTGGCTTTTAATCTCCATGAGGTAGGATAGTTCCTTGCCTTCTTTTTATGATTTATTTCTAGTTTGATGCCTTCGTGGTCAGAAAAGATGGTTGATATGATTTCAATCTTGGTGTATCTGTTGATGTTTGTCTTGTGCCCCAGTATGTGATCGATCCTGGAGAATGATCCGTGTGCGCTTGAGAAAAATGTGTACTCCGTTTTTTTTGGGTTTAGTGTTCTATAGATGTCTGTTAAGCCCAAATGCTCTAGGTCCTTATTTAGAGCTTTAGTTTCTTTACTTATTTTTTGTCTTGTTGATCTATCCATTGTTGATAGTGGTGTGTTGAAGTCTCCCACTACATATGTGTTTTCTCTGATGTCTGTTTTCAGAGAGGACAACAGTTGTCTGATATATTTTGGTGCTCTTTCGTTTGGTGAGTATATGTTAATGAGTGTTATTTCTTCTTGAAGTATTGTCCCCTTAATCATAATGTAGTGACCATTGGGGTCTCTTTTTATTTTTTTGAGTTTGAAGTCTGTTTTATCTGATATAAGTATAGCTGTTCCTGCTTTCTTTTTTGGCCCATTTGCTTGTAGGATTGTTTTCCATCCTTTGACTTTGAGCCTATTTTTATCTTTTGTAGTTAAATGTGTTTCCTGGAGACAGCAAAAGGTTGGGCTTTGTTTCTTAATCCAGGCTGCAACTCTGTGTCTTTTTATTGAAGAGTTTAGTCCATTTACATTTAGAGTTAATATTGATATGTTAGCATCTGTATTTGCCATTATGTTTGTCTTTCCTTTGATTTTATTT